ATCCCATTCCATTCCAATCCATTCCATTCCATTCCATTTTATTTCATCCCATGCTGTTCTATTCCATTCTATTCAACTCCACTCCCTTCCCATTCCAATCCATTCCATTATAGTCCATTCCATGCTGTTCTATTCCATTCCATTCCACTCCATTATAGTCCATTCCATGCTGTTCTATTCCATTCCATTCCATTCAACTCCACTCCATTCCAATCCATTCCATCATATTCCATTCTGTTCTATTCCATTCCATTCAACTGCACTCCATTCCAATCTATTCCATTCCAATATATTCCATGTTTTTCTATTCCACTCCATTCAACTCCACTCCATTTCAATCTATTCCATTCCATGCTGTTCTATTCCATTCCATTCAACTCCACTCCATTCCAATCCAATCCAATCCATTCCATTATAGTCCATTCCATGCTGTTCTATTCCATTCCATTCAACTGCACTCCATTCCAATCCATTCTATTATATTCCATGTTTTTCTATTCCACTCCACTCAACTCCACTTCATTTCAATCTATTCCATTCCCTGCTGTTCTATTCCATTCCATTCAACTCCACTCCATTCCATTCCATTATATCCAAGGTTGTTCTCTTCCACTCCATTCCATTCCACTTCCTCTCCACCCAATCCAATAAAGTTAATTCCATTTATATTCCACTCCATTCCAATTTATTCTATTCTAATATATTCTATTCCAATTTAAATTGGCATAAAAATGAATTTAAGTAATTTAATTAGAGTATCTAGTTACTTTACAAACGATAACATCCAACACCAGCTACTGCTCTCCCAATGCCACAGCATAGCAAAGCAAAGCACAAATAAAAGAAGCAATCATGTTAGAAAAATCACCATTACAGCAACAACTGTGAAGGAAAATAAACACATAAAATATCAAAAGGCTCCTCCGATTGACAATGCAGTTCAATTGAATTCAGTGTGCAGAATAACAACACACGACGGCATGTGGCGCATGAGCACGTTTCACAGCGTCTGCTTCGGTAAAGCGCATGTGAGATCGGCCGCTTGTGCGGAGAATAAATGCAATAATTGTAATGCACACATCAGCACAAAGGCAGACATGAATAATTGATGAAGCGGAGCATGTGGGTGGAGGAGCAGAGCGGCTCCACACCATCATTAACTTATGAAACGTGACACATTAACATCGCATTATGTAATTCGCACATTTCTGTGGACGGCCGAGTGCAGAAATGAGGAATAATCTGTGATGATTGAGCTGTGAATGTGAAAAGATATTTTTTTAATTACTGAAATGAGAATCTAGGGTTTAAACCTGCTCCAAAGGCATGAAATATGTGCACGGAATCAAATAGGAGCAATACTCTAACACTTTCAGTCATTTATTATGCATTAACTAAGACTTTTAGCTCAACAAACTACTCATTAGCTGCTTATTAATAGTTTGTGTTGAGTTTATTGGGTATTATTAGTGATGTAGGATGATTTCATACATTATGAGTGATAATAAACAGTTCATATCTTAATAATAAGAAGGTAATAAGCCAGCAGTGAATGGTGTGAATTGTTACTTAAACAAAAGTGTGACACTTTATTTAAACTACCAATTCTCACTATTAACTAGTGGCTCAATACTTGCTTATTATTAAGATATTAAATGTTTATTAGTTCATGTGGCAGGGAAAGTTTCTGAGTGTGAAAGGTGTGAATTTCTCACAGACTTCAACAGTTTGTCAAAATCTTGATGCTTCTGTGGGTCTCGTCTATCAAATCTGAGTTTTATTCTGTATTTTCTATTGGATTGCTATCAGGTGAGTGGCTGGGCCATTCTACAGCTTGATTTTCTGTCTCTGAAAGCATCTGAGAGTCTCCTTGGCTGTGTTTTGGATCATTGTCTTGCTGAAATGTCCACCCTGGGTTCATCTTCATCCTCCTGCTGATGTAGATGTTGGACTGAAGCAGCTGATGTTCATTTACACTGAGGAAGGGCAGAGGCTTGCTGAAGAGAGAGTTCAGCTGCTGTCCGGGCTTTCCCTGCCAGAATACACCTTCCTTTCTTCATGTGTTCAACCCTTTTTATACTGCTTTATTTCATTTTACTACACATACCTTAACCTGTAAACTAATTAGATTCGTTTTCTTTGTATATATGGATTTCTTTGGTTGTTACCAACATCTGGCGAAAATTTCAAGTGAACAGCACTTTTACATATATGTATTTTGAGAAAAATGGTGATGTGTTCAATACTTAGGCCGTACTCACACTATGTACAGTTGCCTTGAACCAGGCCAAAGCACGCTTGTTCCTCCTCCCATCTTCCCCAACGGTCCGCACTTACATTACATTCGGGCCTGGCCACGCTTAAGGCTGATTTATACTTCTGCGTCAAACGCTGGCGTATGCTACAGCTGACGTGCACCTCTCAAAAAATGTAACTACACGTCGCAACGACGCGTAGCGCAAGCTCTGTGATTGGTCGGCTTGGTAGCGCTGACGAGTCTGGGCGGAACCAAGAGCCGCGCGAGCTGGCAGCGCGCCCAATGGAGCGATTGTTTACAAGTGTGGAGTCCCGTGAAGGAGCTCCGGATGGAAAGATTTGTTTTGTGTTTACCTCATAGTTAAAGTTGTTGCACGTCCGCCGGTTCCTGCCTCAAAATGAGCGAGTTTGAGCCACTTGTACATCCTGGATGTGTTCAGGAAAAGCAAAACAACAGCGAAGAAACTCAACACAGAGGAACATTTACACCTCACTGCCAACTAGCGTTTCAGAAGTGTTAATGCAGACCAACAGAGACAGCAGCAGAAGTATAAATGCACAGCTACAGGCGTTGCATGCGCCGTGAGTTACGCCGGTCACTTGACGCAGAAGTATAAACCAGGCTTTATCGATGCTGCGCTGTTCAGTAAGCGTTCTCGCTCAGCACAGTGGAGATTTCTTTAGTTATATCGTTTAAGTAGTTTGATATGCAGTGACATGCAGTCAAATCTTTCACCGAACAGATCCGCCACTTTTGACGCTTATAAACAGTAATATAGTGCTTGTGCTGCAGGAGTTAAGAAGGCGCAGCTGTGGTGCAGTGAGGTGTTTGCATCTGTAATAAACTACGACAGTTTGCGTTCACTGAACGGTAAGAATGATTAATAAATCCATATCAAACAGTCCCCTAAAGTCTTGTCTCACTTTCAGTTTCGGGCTTTGGCGCATTTTGCACTCACACACAAGTGAACCATGAGCCCGATTCAGAGCACTCCCACTTCTCAAACGATCCAGGAAATGGGCCTGGGCACGGTTCGGATAGCATAGTGCGAGTACGCCCTTATGTTCCCTGCTGTATAAAGTATGATCTTATTTTACATTGCTAATAGTACACAATAAAACAAACTACTACTTTTTAAAATTATAATTAAGCAGCTAACTATTTATTCAATATAAAAATATAGTATAATAACATAAAAATACTATATAAAACAAACTTTTTTATTAATTACATTTTTAAAATGCGTTTAACATTTTTCATACAGCCTTTCTTGATT